TTTGTGTGCGACTAACCAGAAAATCGCCCAGAACCAATTAACCGAAATTTCATGGTCGTCCTCTGTTCCCAAATATTTGTACTAACATTGGACGGTCACATAATTCAGTTCACGTATGATTCTGTCTGGTGAACATGCGTGCAACCCTGAAAGTGGAAATAAGTGCAAGAGGTTCACTCATCAAGTATTTTGCGTTTAAAAAATACAAAACCGAAAAGACCGCAAGTGCTTTAAGCGATTATCCGTGCTATTGATCACATTGGGTATTTGGTGAAATTTCTTCTAGCAGAAACTTATTGCAACGATAGGCGGTTAATTGACCACATCATATGTAAAATTTAAACGTACCGCAATTTGTAAAGCTTATCACGTCTATAAAGATGGATGTACTGGTGACAGTACTGCAAAGTAATGGAGTGGATGAATTCATCTGATAAGTTCCAAAAGGCAAACTCCGAAAATCGTTTGAGATTTGGATCTGGTGTGATTTTTAGAAGTCGAGCCAATGCACTCGCTTCATCCGCGCTTTGCATGATCACACAAGGCAGCAGTTGTTGCGGTTGGTGGGGAGTTAGCGCATGTTTACACATCTGGTTCTAGCAAACACCCATCTATCGTTTTGCATACCGTTAGGATATTGTACACTGAGTTTTCCAGACAGCTCCGTGTCACGTGCCAGCCAACGTCATTTAGTTTGGTGCAAAACACACTGATGAAGCAATATTCCCAGGAAAATTTGTTTAGGTGTATGTCCGTCCAAACCACCGGACACGTACCGTTGTCTAAGCGTAAATGACCAAGCAACCACTTTTGGCGTAATTGGGACATACAGATTTTACAGGGTTTATAGACCCTCATTGGTACTGGTCCATCGAACATACTTTTATTTCAGGTGACATTGTGCGTCTACGGAACGCCGAACACTTATGCCAATCAGTCTGCCGTCTTCCAACAAGACCGATCACAATGCGTTTCATTTTCCGCGCCCAACATTATCCTGAAACAACGACAATCAACTGAC